GTACCCTTTGGACATTTAAATGAATATATATATTTTTTGTTTTGCATGTATACATCCAATACGTTTGCTTTGTTGATCTGTGAAAAATAAGATGTAAAAAGGAAGCCCTGCAGATGGTACCTATTTGACCTAGCTTCGACGGCTTGATGATCAGAATTTGACTAAAAGATAAAAAAAAATTTGATAAAGGAATCAAATTGCTATAATTTGAGAAAATTAACCTATACTTATGGAGGTAGTAGCTCAAAATACCAACTGAAAGGGAAGGAATCTTCATATCAAGGATCAATCGTATCCCCTCTGTACACAGGGTAGATAGGGCCAGGCAACTTAGACATTGGCCACCTCAGATGGGGGAGGGGGGTAATAAAGGCATGAAGTGAATGGCTTACAAGTTTTCAAGAGGGAGTTTAGTTTCAGAGTGTGCAGGAGGCAGAATTCCCACTGAATAGTTCTCATCTTGTCTCGACGGGTCTGGTGAACAGATATGGGGCTAAGATTCATATGACTCAATAGTGAGTAACTGTTATCATGATTGTGACTGTCACAACTGTAAAGGTAGAAGTTTTTTAACAAAAAGAGGGGAGTAGTTAATCTTACATTGCAGGAACAGAGGACCCTAGGACCATAAAGGGAGAAGAGCATGAATGAAATGTGGGACCCTATCCAGAGAAGCAGCAACACGAGAGATGGAGGCACAGATGAGGACATGGAGAGATAGAGCAGCTGAGGACTCTAAATTCACGAAAAGAGAAACACTGTGTACTGGTGGCTAGGAGGCAGGCTTGCAGAACATGCTCTTTGATTATTTAAATGATCACATATTCTTAAGTGTTTTTGTGTACATAAAAAAAATAATTCAGAGGGAACAGAAGCAAATACTGTTGAATGATGATGCACGATCATTGTAATGAAACGAAATACATTAAGGTGAGTATAAAACTGGCATTCCCCCATGTAAACTTTCACTCAATTCAAAATAAAAACGTTAAAAAAAAAAGGAAGCCACAGGAAGGGAGCAGGGTAACTGTTTTGCAGGGAGAGGATTATAATCACTGAGATGAAACAAATAAACAAACAAACAACGATTGGTAGAGGATAAAGCTGACAATCTTGTATGTTAACCTTCACTCAATTCACAATAAAAGCTAAAGAAAAGAAATTAAGGTTGAGTGAAGGAATGTAGCTCTTCTTAGAAAAAAACACAATATTAGCAAAATTGGCAGAGTAATCTCTACCTTCAGGAGGGTATGTGGTCCTTCTTTTTAACTTTTAATGCTCCTGCCTCGTAAAGATCATAATGCTGTTGTTAAGTCAGTTCCAACTCATAATGACCCTGTATAGGGCTTCTGAGAAGCAGCTAGAGAGCTTGAGCTACCAACACTGTAGTTCAAACCAACCTAGCGGTCTATACAGCCACTTATTATGAAGGTGTGGCCACAAAAATTGATTGCTTGGTTGTTTACAGAAAATCTTATTTGTTGAAATATTTCATATCAAAATGTTTGTTCACTCAAGATTATAAATTTTCATAAAAAAAAAAGAATATAAGCATAGTGCAACAATGGCTGCTACCAACAGTAAAAAAATAAATAAATAAATCAGATATTATATCTTTTTTGAGGAAGAATACACAAGCATCTGGAGTCCTGGATTGCAAAGTCAGTTTGAACCATGAAGTCAGTGGTTTAAGCTCACTAGCTGCTCCTCAGAAACCCTATACAGGGTTGCTATGGGTCAGAACCCACTCGATGGCATTTAACAAGAATACAACACCACCAGCATCTATAAAAATAGGTATCTACAGAAATTCAAAATCTCATAAAGGCTGTAGGTTAAACTATCAACTTGAAAAAATATACATGGGACAGAGGAAAGCGTTAGGTACAAAACAGGAACACACACAGCAAAAGCCAAACTGAGAAAACTACATGACAAGTGATGTTTCTTTATTAAGTAAATTGCAGAGGGAGGAAACCACAGATTAAAACAAAACACTCTAAAAGACATGAAAATATAAAACAGGTAAGGCTAAATGATTGTGTTGAGGGGCACATGCTTGGATGAACCACCAGGAAAGGCAGGTCACGAACATAATGGGATAGTGGGTACTTAAAGAAGGGGGAGTGTGGCACCGTAAATTTACTGGATATGGCTTTTCTATACAAAGTTTTCTTGTTGAGTGTTGTCGAGTCGGTTCCAACTCAGAGCGACCCTGTATAGGGTTTCCGAGGAGCATCTGGTGAGTTTGCACTGCCAACCTTGTGGTTCGCAGTCCAGTGCTGATTCACAGCGCCACACCAGAAGTCCAAAGTCTTCTTAACTCCCACCAAAAGTCTGGGTGGGACTATGCAAACCAGGTGCACAAAGACTCTAACACTGAGATTGATTTGTTTTGTCATCCTGCTAGGTTTAAAAGAAGCTGTCTTAGAAGCAGGAACAGAAAAATGCCAGGGCTCTGTTCACCATCCAGAATAAAGCGTCATGAACGGAGCTTGAGATCCCTCCCTGGGAAAGTGGTGGCAGTTGGCAGAGTCAGCAGCATAGAGAGACAGAGTAGCTGTGGGTTTCTGGGCCCATGGACCAAGTAAAGCTGAGTGGCAATGGGCAGAAGGCTGGCTTGCAGAATGTGCCCTTTGGGCATTTATTCTATACACTTGCCTGAGCAGGGAAGAGGCTGAGGGGCCATAGACAAGAGTGAGGCATGTTTGCAGTACGGCAGAGAAGAGGCATTCCTGACTGGACAACTTCTGCATCCTAAATTGTTTCTAATCCTCAATTGTACCCGGTTCACTTCTGTAATAAACCGCCTAACAATGAATATTCCCTATGAGTTCTGTGTGGTCACTGCAACGTATTACTGAATCCCAATGTGAAGCAGAGAGGGCTATGAGAGGGGGATGGTTGGAGTCAGAATAGGGTAACAAAAGTTGTAGGGTGGAGGCATATCTGACCTGTGCCTCATGGGAATTGGTCTTGGGCTGATTGTGAGTTTGAGTCTCCTCCCCCCTTGAGTAGTCAGAGAAGTCAGACACAACCTCCACACCAGTTTCCGCGGGGTTGTGCTTAGTTGTGGGGTGTGAGCAGCCTGGTGTGTCTGTAAGGTTGAATCTCCTTCATGGGTGTTGACCATAAGGGTCTCCTCTTTATAATAACCCATGAAGTCAATGCATTTGTTTTCTCTTGTATTCTTTCAAGCATAAAAAAGTTAAAATTCTTGCTTCTGAAATGATATACAGCAAGATGTTACAAATTTTTCAATCTGTGTGAATGGTTTTATCAATTATTAGGAAAAACATGTCCTAATTTACCGATCTTTTTCTATTACATTTCACATTTCAGAAGATTTAATGTTGCCGGTGTAGAATCTATATATGGATCAACCAGCCGTTTGAGAAGAACAAAAGGATACCGCATGGTTAAAAACGGGACAAGGCATGTGGCAGGGTTGTATCCTTTCACCTTACTTAGTTAATCTGTATACTAATCAATAATCCAAGAAGCCGGACTAAATGAAGAAGAACATGGCATCAGGATCAGAAGAAGATTCATTAATGGCCTGTGATATGCAAATGATGTAACCCTGCTTGCTGAAAATGAAGAGGACTTGAAGCTTTTACTGTTGAAAGTCAAAGACCTTCAGTAAAGATTACACCTCAACACAAAGAAACAAAAATTCTCACAACTGAGTTGATAATATCATAATAAGTGAAGAAAATACTGAAGCTGTTAAAAGATTTAAAAGTTAGACACTGAAGAAGGAAGACAGAAGAGAGGATACAGTCAAAGTGTGATGTCACTGAGGAAATACTAAGTGCACTGCGGCCCACCAGAAGAACGAACAAGTCAGTGTTAGAGGAAATACAACTGGAATGGTGCTAAGCAGTGATGGTGGTGAGTTTGACTCCCTCACTCTGAACAAGTTATCAGCAAAGACCAGTCATGGTTAGCAGAGTCAGTGAAAACAAGGGTCATGCTCAATGAGATGAACTGACAAAAGTCACACGAACGCACTCAGAGCAGAGGCTGTGAGGGTGGCTAGGGTCGGGCTGCACTGTAAGTTACACATAAGGTCTTCAAGAGCCAGAGCTGAATCAATGGTAACTGACAACAACAGTGATATATTGCTTTTGTAGAAAAGGGTTATTTAAGTTCTGAAAAGTATGGCTGATGCTAGAACGTGTAACTACTAAAAACTTACTAGAAACTTCCATAAGACACAGGAAATCCATGCCCTTGGTAGTCACACCTCATGTGCATGGACGACCCGGAAATTCTCTGCTTGGGTGCTTGAGAGAAGGTACGTAACGTAGTGTACTACTGACTGGGTAGATGTAACAAATAACATTTCTGAAAAGTCGAGTAAACGATGCCATTAACATAAACGGATTATTTTATGAGGCCGAAGGACAACATCCAAAGGCCGTCCTATAACTTGGCCAGTTCATCTTTTCTGCTGAAGTTCTCGTTCAGTTTTCTTAATTAGAATTCTTTTGAAATTATTTTTTATCTAGATGTATATACTTACCTCCTTCCATTAAAAAAAATTAATTTTACATAACAAGACCAGAACTAAGAACAGAACAAGGTCCAAATACATATGGAGATTTAATATCTTTAAGAAAGAGATGGAGAAGATTGTTAAAATATGCTATACCATGTGTGTATACATCTTTGTAGACAGACGAGAAATGGGTGAACAGATCTTCAGGGAGAAGATCTACATCCATGGCAGGAGTCAGAGGGAGAAGCTTCACATGTGGTTTGAGTTTTATATTACACATGTTTCATCTATTCAAGAAAATGAATTGAATTCTAAACATTACAATGTTCAAGTGTAAGGTCACTGTGGCCATGCCCTGAGTAAGCCTAGTGCAGGACTCTACACTAAGCACTTGGGGAAGCAGGAAAAGCCACATCTGTGCTTGAGCCTCCCAAGAAGCTACAATGTGAGGCAGAGGTTAACAGGGTCCCCAAGGGCGGAGGTATGGTCAACCCACCTGGCTCTCCGACTGGCTGTTGGGCCCCACCAACGAGTTTGCCATACTTGTCTCCTCTAGACTTCAGATCAAAGTAGACGTTGCCTATTTTATAAAGGTAATTATGAAACTCATCATTTCTCAGCCTTCAACATAAACATTTACATAAGCTGAATATTTAATAAGCTTTTAGAATGTAAAGATAGATTATGGCATTTGGTCTTCATTTGGTCCCTTTTATTGACCTTTTAGACTAGAATTAAAACAAACCTGAAATATAAAAGCATGAATCTGTACACCCGATGAAAATATGGAAGTGAAGTATAAATTCTTTGTCAAATGTTGAAACAATTCTTAACAGGAATAAGGAAAGGTAAGTGTTAACAGTAACCTTTATTCAGCTCTTGGGCTTTGTATTACACACTAGTTATTAAGAGAAACTTAATAATTTAAACACTTCTTGATCCTGGAGTTCTGGTGTGGTGCTGTGGTTTAATGCGCTGGACTGCAAAGTTGGCTTGAACCACAAGATTTTCAGTTCAAGCTCACCAGCCACTCCTTGGAAACCCTGTACAGGGTTGCTATGGGTCGGAACTGACTCAACAGCACATAACAACAACACTTTTTAATCCTAATATCTTCTAAGGCTATCCTTTTATTTAGATTTTTGTGACACTGTAGGATCAGCACTGGGCTGCAAACCACAAGGCTAGCAGTTCAAACCCACCAGCTGCTCATTGGAAGCCCCCTACAGCGTCACTATGAGTCAGAACCGACTCGATGGCAATTAACAACGACACTTGAAGTATTTATGAGGCTATTCTTTTACTGACATACATATGGGCCTTTTTCCTGTTTGTTTCAAGATTGAGGGTAAAAGATAATTTTAGTCAGAGATCAATACAGAAACACAGTTAACCCTTTGTTATTCTGACTAGAGAATAAAAACTAGCGGAGCTGGAAAGCGAGATGTTCACAGAGCTAAGAACCCAGCCGCAACCCACGAGAGTCCCAGAGCTCACTCAGGCTGTGGCTTCTAGGCACCAGCTTCTCCCAAGGAAGAAGACGGCGCTAATAAAGGCTGTGAAAATGGCATGATAAATATCACAGACCTGCAGTCCCCAAGCAAGGAGCCCATAAACGATACGTAACTTTACATGTTCATCAAAAGGATCCAAACACAATCCAAATTTTCCAATCTTTACAATTTTTAAAGTTTCACATTTCTTAATACTGTCCCATAATCATGAGGAACACTGGCCTCGAAACTGGGCTATTTCAAGATCAAGGAAACTTTATCAGCAAATAACAAAGAAGAACGCAGTATCCAATGACCAGGACAAGCAGTACCCAGAGGCATGTGTACTGGTTTCTCATTTTCCAACCCAACTCACAGGAAATCTACGGCAGATTCCTCAGCCACAGTGAATCATCCACTCTCAGAGAGGTGATGAGACCTCAGGTGACTCCCCAAGCACGACCCATATCATCAGGTGATTCCTTTAAATGCAGTTTATGACGTGGTGCTGGGCATACAGCAGTACGAAACAGAAGAGAGACTGAGGAACTTTGGGAGCTACTACTCTGGTAGGGTAGTGGTTACGAATCGGTCTGCAAACTGCAAGGTCAGCAGTTCGAAACTACCAGCTGATCCGTAGGAGAAAGATGAGGTTTCTGCTCCTATAAAGATTTACAGCCTCGGAAACCCTGTACAGGGTCGCTATGAGGCAGAACTGACTCCACAGCACATAACAACAACAACAACAACGTGTTAGATCACAGTCATTGTTAAGTGCCATCGAGTTGGTTCTGACTCATTGCAAATCTTTATAGGTTTCCCAGGAGCAGCTAGTAGGTTTGAACTGCCAACTTTGCGTTTCAAACCAACCTTGCGGTCCAGTGCTTATCTTACAGTGCCATAGCAGGACGCCAATAGATCAGAGTAGGTTACAATATTATGACTCACAGTACCGTATGTAAAATTTGAAAATAAAAGAATAAAGAAACTGCTCTCCAAAACAGAGGAAACATTTCCCCTTACTTTCATTTACCCTATCATTTTGTTTAACAAACTATTTCTTCACAAATAGTTCAAAGATCAAATTACAGCTGAACCTTCATGGAACTGATACACATTCTGAATTAATGGAGTTTGCAGTGACGTGAATTTCTTTTAGATTATTTCTATTTATGTTACCATTATTACAAACTGACAATAAAGCAGAGTAAAACAAATAGCATTGATTCCTAACGTATGCTAAGACAGGACTCTCTAATCACTTCTGGAACATAAGTCAGTTGATTTTAAAACATGGAAGCACATAGGTTGTATGTCTTAGCTCAAGTCACACACGAGCAGGAAGACCATCCCGTGTTTTCTGAAGCAAACTCCAGTTTTGCTTTAAAAATAAGATGTTTAAAAAACATAAGATCTTCAAAACATAGTTTTTCTTGGAAATAAAACCAAAACATAGCAAGTCAGATATAGTTAGAGCACAGCCAGTGTTTCTACATGCACAGAGTATTGAGTAAATTCAGCACATGTTTACGGGGGTCCAAAGGGTCCCTAACATTTATCTTATCCTCTCAGGTCCACTTCATAGAGGATAGATGCTCGCAGGCCAGTAATCCCTATAAATAGTGTATATTACAGGGCTTTATACTTTGTTATTTACGTGCAGTGAACATTTCAATACTTACATATACCCTGGATACTAGAATGAATTAGTCAATAAAAGCCCAAGATTTTTGTGGCCTCAGAATTTATGATCAAGGTAGGGATAAAATATGTTAAACAGCACAAGAAGGCAATGTGTAATTGGCTGTCAAATGGTAATGTAGAGTGAAAACATGAACATGCAGAGACCTCGCTCAGGTATGGTAGGTAAAAAAACATACCATGGCTGGGGTTTAAGCGATACCGAGGATTTGGATTTAAGAACACTAGATAGAAAGGAAGGTCTGGCGGAAAAACATGCTTGATCATAAAAGTAACAAAATGCCAGGACACCAATCTTACCCCTGAGGCTACCAGACAAAAAGTAGCAACCCCTAAATAAATTAAACTCCTGTAGTGAAAATCATCACACAGAGACACAGTGTGGACTATATTCTAAGAAACTGGGCTCTCTGGAAATCCCGTAACAAAGGAGGGAAAGTAGGGAGGTTATTTGAGATTGGTGGTGGTGGTGGTGTGCCGTGGAGTCGGTTCTGACTCATAGTGACCCTGCATAGGATTTCCGAGGCTGTAAACCTTTATGGGAGCAGAACACCTCATCTTTTTGCTGACCTTGCAGTTAGCGGCACGACTCATAATCCGCTGTTTTACCAGAGCGCTTTCATTTTAAAGGAAAACCAAAACACATAGCAACCAAACACAACACATGACCTGGAGTAGATTCTGACTTTGGGGGAGGGGGCTGTAAAATAAATTTACCAGGTCAACCTGGTAAATTTCCATATGGATCGGATATTGAGGAATATTAGGGAATTACTGTGAATTGTCTTAGGTCTAGGAATGACATTGTAGATATGCAGCGGGTACGCTCTTATTATTCAAAGAAGCATGTTCAAGTATCAAGCTGCTTATATGTTATGATGTCGGCAACCTACTTTCAACTGACGCATTAAAAAATGATATACCCACACACACTTGCTGATCTTTAAATGGGTCTTTTGAAGTGCTGGTTTTGTCCCTAACTTTTTGCTATAAAAATTTTAAACAAATGAAATTGAAAGAATACAATGAACCACTGTATATCTACTACTGAGGCTCAACAAATATTAACATTTTGCCGTATTTACTTTATCTAGACTTCACTGTTGTTGTTTGAGTTGTTGAGTTGGTTCTGACTCATAGTGACCCTGTATAGGATTTCTGAGAAGCAACAAGTAGATTTGAACCCCCAACCTTGCAATTCAAACTGACATTGTATTCGAGTATTTACCCTGGAGTGCTACAACAGGACTCCCTTACCTAGACTGTTGTTAAGCGCTGGCAAGTCAGTCCCAACCCACAGCGACCCTGTATAGGGTTTCCTAGAAGCAGATGGTGAACCGCCAACCTTGCAGTTCAAACTGACTTTGCAGTCCAGTGCATGAACCCACAGTGCCATATCAGAACTCCTTATCTAGACTAGCTCTCTAGATACTCAACTGGATATTCCAAATGTCTATTCAAATCTTCCTGTAACGGGGGGAAATATTTTTTAAAAGAATTGATTCATCAGTTTTACAAAGAAATATAACAGTTATAGAAAAGCCCACAACGTTTCCAATACAAGGATCATTTTAAAAAAAAGTAAAGCATTTGGCATGTCTTCCAACAATTTATAAATATGCCTGGTATGTCAAAATCTTATCAGTATCACCAATGATCAGTTTTGATAACATAAACCCTACCTTTCAACGTTGAATAAGCATGACCATTAGCAATTATTCCCTCAATGAAAGAAATTATCTGAGGAATATTTTCAGTTACCCTCAAGGATACTGTGGGTGGAAGAACCTGAAATAAAGAAAACCTTACTGTGTTTCCATAGTTAAGAAAGCAGAGGTCTGTCACAATGGCTCTTCACTGTTCCAGTGTTTTAACCACCTGCCAACAATCAACTTTACCTTCAAGGCTGCCATATCTAGTTTAAAATCTTCTTCATAAAAACTGGCAAGAGAAGTGGGTGATATATTCATCTGCAAAAGAATGAGATGAACACACTAAGAAGTCTGGAGCATTTACAAAAGAACCAAATGCAAGCACAATCGTCTACTTGCATGATGCCCAAAGCCAGCTCATGTCCCCGAGGGGGCCAACAGCAATGGCTGCGCTGTGTGGCCCCCCACAGTGGCTTTGCTTTGAGTTTGCAGCGTCACTTACAAGGCAAGATACGCTGAATTTTAGTTATTAAAATTACACCAAAAGCTTAGTTTATTGAGCCTGTTTCCAGGTGAAATAGGTCAAAGGAATAAATGCCATGATTTCAACAAAGACAAATAAGCCAAATAAAAAAAAACAAATCAACAAGAAATCCTCTGCTTTTCTCAGTCAAGGGCAAAATCAATCTACTCTACACAATCTCAAGAAACCTGACTTCCCATTGTACGCAATAACCTCCGGAGACAAAAGAAAACAAGTCAGAAATATATTAAAAAGGAAGTCCCTAAGGAAATATTTTGAAACTAGCCTAACACATTAAAATACAGTTCTTTTCAATGGAGTGTTAAGTCCCTCAGGTACCACGAATGGGCTTCTGGGGGTAGATAAAAGCACAAAACCCGACATTTAATTATGAATGTACGTGCTTTTCTGGGGCATATATCTACAGCCTCTGCCAGATTTTCAAAGGAATCTGTGGCACAAAACTATGTTTATTCAATAGTAGTATTATTACTCTTTCAGAGGAAAAACACTATAAAAGGAAGCAGGAGACACTATAAAGTTCTGAAACGTAACCAGGATTCCTATTTGTTGATTTTCTACACATAGTACATGAGCCACGCAAACTCATTCACATTTATGTTGTTGTTGTTATATGCCGTGGAGTCGGTTCCGACCCATAGTGACCCCGTACAGGGTTTCCGAGGCTGTAAATATTTACGGGAGCAGAAAGCCTCATCTTTCTCCCGCGGAACAGCTGGTAGTTTTGAACTGATGACCCTGAGGTTAGCAGCCCGATTCACAACCACTATGCTACCAGAGCTCCTTCATTCACATTTATAAGCATCCACAAAGGACACTGGTGTCCTGGTGCAGCACTGTAGAATAAGCACTGGACTGCTAACCCGAAGGTTGATGTTTCAAACACATTAGCTACTCCTTGGAAACCTTATACAAGGTATCTACGAGTCCAAACTGACTCGATGGTACTCAACAATGTGCTGCCCACATATCTTACCTGAGCCTAACACAATCTGGTGAGACAGAAAACCTTTAATTATGAGTAAAGTAATTTCAGATTATTAAACAACTTCCTCAATGTACACACCCCAGGGCACTCTGAAGCTCATCAAATTTCTAGCTCAGGGTTTTGAAAAAGCGCAGTCATCACTTTAACAACAGTTCCTAAAACCCACAGCCAATAAATATTCACTGAAGAAATTCATCTTGTAAAGTAAGCATTGCTACTGTAGTGCCTATTTTTTTTAGCATTGTGATCTTGAGCAAGTCAACAGAGGTCTCAGCTATAGGGTTTCTTTATAACACAGAGAAAATACCATCTAACAATTCCTAAGCTTGCTATGAGGGTTCAGTGAAGTAGGAAGGTTGTAAATGGAAAATATTACATTAATATCACTATTAAAGAGATAATACATTGTTGTTGTTGTTAGAGGTGCCATCAAGTTGGTTCCAACTCATAGCAACCCTACTGTACAACAGAATGAAACCCTGCCCAGTCCTATGATAGACTCATGATCGTTGTTACATATAGCCCATGGTTGGCTGCGACTGTTTCAATTCATCTCCCTGGGAGTCATCTTTTTTCGCGTTGATCTTCCACTTTGTTGTTGTTAAGTGCTGTTGAGTCGGTTTCGACTCATTAGTGACCCAGTATAAGGTTTCCAAGGAGTCCTGGTGTGGCGCTGTGGGTCAATGCGCCAGACTGCAAAGCCGTTTGAACTGCAAGGTCAGCGGTTCAAGCTCACCAGCTGCTCCTCGGAAACCCTATACAGGGTCGCTATGGATCAACTCAAAGGCACTTAACAGCAACAACAATAGGGTTTCCAAGGAGCAGCTTGTGGGTTTGAACTGCTGACCGTGCGGCTCACAGTCCATTGCCAAACCAAGAGTCGAATATATACATAGTATATGTATGTCCTGGTGTGGTGCTGCAGGATAAGCACTGGACTGCTAACCACAAGGTTGGTGGTTCAAACTGCTCTTCAGAAACCCTATAGGGGGTTGCTAGGAGTTTGAACACTGCATCTGTGTGTGTGTGTATAAATATATAAATGTAAAATGTCATTTTCCTGTGGTATATAGCTTTGTGGCAAAACACAACAGACATTTAAAAATAGTAATCAGTTAACGTATGTGTATACAGAGGAAGAAAAAAAGCCTAAAATTCAGTGTGATCTTGTTACTTCAGAAGTTTCAAATACTCTACGATTTTGGTCTTAAAAACCACCATGCTGCTTTTAAATACTGATCTTTAATCTTAGCCTTCTGAACAGGTAGTTCACTCCCAAGGCAAATCACACCTCATAAAGAAGTGTGCAGAACCCCCCTTCCATTCCAGAAGGCACGCACTGCTACCAGCTTTCCTCGAGCACGAATATGATGATAAACGCATTTGCATCGTCCTCTGTAAGTCCTCAGTGTACAACTCTACCCAGTGGTCGGCACATTGTTTCATGCACTTCAGATTATTTCAGGTCTCCCCATGCTGGTACAGACTGAGCTGCCACATTCCTTTCAATGGCTGCATATATTACATTTTATAGATGTAGCACGATTATTTAGCCTGTCCTCTACTGGTTTGTAAAGGAGCTCCGCTAGCATAGCGGTTACGATTCGGGCTGTGAACCGCAAGGTCAACGGTTCAAAACTACCAGCTGTTCCACGGGAGAAAGATGAGGCTTTCTGCTCCTGTAAAAATTCACGGCCTTGGAAACCCTGGACAGGGTCGCTATGAGTCGGAATCGACTCCACGGCACGTAACAATAACTACTGGTTGGTGGTTCAAGCTCACTAGCTGCTCCTCGGAAACCCTATCCAGGGTTGCTATGAGTCAGCATTGACTCAATGGCATTTTACAACAACCACAATCCACAATGAGTCCTGGTGTGGCACTGTAGGATTAATACTGGACCGCAGGTCAGTTTGAACCACAAGGCCGGTGGTTCAAACCCACCAGCTGCTCCTTGGGAATCTCATGCAGGGTCACTATGAGTCTGAACCAACTCAAAGGTACTTAGTAACAACAACAATATTTACATCTGTTGGTCAGAAGTAAAGCAGATTACTGTTTACAACGTGGTAAGGAGAAACCCTAAGGTTTCCTAAGGATTTTGCCTCATGATTATAAATACATATCTTGTCAGAATTTCAACCCCACCCCAATTTCGCCAGCCCCCACAATCACACAAGAAAATTCCTTAATCAATCTATCCATTTCTCTCTTTCCATGTATATACATGGTATGGTGGTTATGTGCTGTGGAGTCGGTTCAGACTCCTAGGGTTTCCGAGGCTGTAAATCTTTATGGGAGCAGAAAGCCTCTTCTTTCTCCTGCGGAACAGCTGGTAGTTTTGAACTGCTGACCTTGAGGTTAGCAGACTGACTCATAACCACTACTGCCCCATGGGGCTTTCTAAGCTAGGGTCTTTATGGGAGCTGATCCCAAGAAGCTACTGAGTGGGTTCGAACCACCAACTGGCCAAAAGTCTAAAACTGTTGCAATAACAGGGCTCCTATTACCAAACTGCCTTTCTTAGATGTTGTACCAATTCCTGTACCTTATCAAACTTTTAGACTTTGTCAACATGATGGCTAAAAACTGCTTTCCCATCGTGATTTCAATCTTCAGTCCTCTTAATTTAAATGAATTTAAACATCTTCTCCTGCTGAAGAACCATTTTATTAAATGATCTATAATGGAGCTCTGGTAG